GTGTGTAGCTTCGCCTTTTTTTCGCGTGCACCGAAAATACGTACTTTTCTTCCGCATTAAAAGCGTTATATGATTATATTAGCGAGCGCATTAGAGGCACTTGGTTCTGATTTATTTTCATTTTTTTTTTTTTTTTTTTACATTTTCACGTCATTGAATTTTTGGGAAAACTGACAAAACTGCACATAAATCAAGAAATCGTAGCGAATTAATTTTTCACGCTCGTTTTTTTCTTCTTTTCTATAACGTAGCACGAGCACGCGCGCGCGAGCTTGTCTATCCCAAGCAATGACACCTTGACGTTTGCGCGCGCACGCGTGCATATTTACGCTGGATTTATTAAAGACCGATGATTGAATATCAAAGTTCCGGTTTTCTCGCGATTGCACGCAAATATGCAGATATCGCAAATATAGATATTTATACACGCGACTATATCTATCGATAAAATCTCACCATAACTTTCGATTATTCGATTTTTTTATATTTTTTTTATTCACCACGCCATAATGAGTATTTACCGTTCATTAATCGACTCTTTTCAATACGTAAGACTTTGTAGCGTCGAGGGTGTCAGTAACCATTCAAAAGCTGCGCGAGAGGCTGAAATTTTACGTGTGATCGATCGTTCGTACATAATAATATTTATAAAATTTATGAATACATTGTGTGAACGATGAAAATGACGACATTTCGCGCGCGAAAAGTGCATGTGCGTGGGCGATAGATCGCGAGACGACGACGGCGACGATGCCAACAAAAGACGAACTAATTGGGTGTTTTTCAAAAGCAGATTATTATCGGTTATTATATACCCGCGTGCCTAACGATAGATAGACACATTTCATTATTGTTGTGTTTTCGCCTATACCCTATAGTACGTAGTACACACAAACACATACTTCAAAGTGTATACATAATACAAACGTGATTTGTATTGTCCAAGTTTAATAATATTGAGAGATACAACGTCTTGTACGCGAGAGCATATTTATCTCTCTCGCATCGTATTATATGTGTGCAAGTGTGTGCGATACCCAACGCGAAAAACTTTTTCATGTTCGATTATTTTGCAATAATGCCTCTCTCTCTTTCTCCCTTACACTACTGACTTGAAGTTCGCGCGCGAACGAGTAGCTTATATTCGCCTTCAATACCTTCGTTGCCCATATATATTTTCTATATATATAACTGCCGCTGCGTTTCGACACTCAATACTCTTTAATGATTTAGTGTCTTTATAAATATAAACGCTGTGTACGGTGTATTTTCCACGACTGTGCGCATTGCGAGTTACGTATCTTTTGGGAAGCATATGACTGTGAATGAAAAAAAAACCGCGAGGCAAATCATAAACATAACGCGCGTTCGTATATTGATAATGTGAATTACATGCGTGATAAGACCCTCGGAGAGCTGTGAGGGACAAACGATTTGAAATTTGTTCTAGTTTCGTCATAACACATATTATAATTCAAAGCCCAATGGCTATTAATGCCCGCACACTTGTACACTTGTACATGTGTGTGCATACGAAAAAGCTCCAAGACGCTGTCGTGTGTGTGCCTATCCAGCGCGAGGATCTACATTTCTCGGGTTTGTTTTTTTTCCTTCTTTTACCTCCACATCGAACACACGTTTGTTACATGTTTCGCCTATGAGCGATTGATACGGCGCGCATAGCCGGCGCATACACGCCGGCATAACGATCAATCGCGTTGATTATACCGAAGGCGCGCGTATTGGCTGTCAATAAATGAGCGAAGAGAGGAGAGAAAAAAATTATTCGCCGCGATCGTGTCGAGGTTTGTTTTTGTACATACTTTATTTGACCATATAGGTATACGTATAATCGTATAAACGATCGCGCAATTTCTTCAGAGATATATCCGACCCTCGGCGCGGCTGTACGTCCGTGACGATTAATCATTGAAACGCGCATGGCGAGAGGAGAATAAATGAAAAAAAATTACTCGGACAGTTTCACACGGTTGAAATTATTGTGCGTCGATGTTTTGAATGATTTTAGTTTTCTTTCGCATCGTGCTATGCAACGATCGTCACTATTGAGTTTTGCAACTAATTTTCTCGTCGCATCTACATCAATAATTCGACTCCTGCATCCAGAAAGTGTATGCACTTGAAATTCAGGAAGCCTGCCGTGCCACACTGCAGTCACGATGAAATTATGAATTTCTCCGAACGATGATTCCCTGCCATTTTTGTAACCTCGACGCGCATCCCATGGTCGCGTGACGTCAACTCGAAGCGGCGGCGCGTAATATAAGGGACGCACCGCAATTACATAGCGAGTGACACACGGTATTCCATTACACAGCTCGCCGCGAGTGAAAAATCGGCTTGCATACGCGAAACTTTTGTGTTGCGAAAAAATGGGGAAGGCGTCTCGATACGAGGACCATTTGAAGCTCGAACGATATCGGATTGCAAGTATATGTACCGAAAGGAATTTGCCGATATTGACGCACGAGAGTGCGCAATTCCGAATTTATGTTAATCCCTTGAACTTTCTTCGATGCAATGATTAATCGGTACGATTACTTGTTCGCCTCGTTACTTTCCATTATCGAGCGATTTTACACTGTGTACACGAGTATTTTTAGCGATTCACGTACACCATGTGTAATGTGTGAAAAATTGACGGCCCCGCAAAGGAAAATGTCAGTGAGCGTCGTCGTACATCGCGCGTATGATCGTACCCATCCTGATAATAATTTAAATAACAAAATAACGTCATTGTTGAACAAATCATTTACATTTAATACAGATTCAGTGTAAAATCAGACTGTGAAATGCATTCAATAGCTACTGCATTTTAGTCAAGGTACTTTTACATGAAACTTTTTTTGAGAAATTAATATATCAATAGTGATTTATCGTTCAATACAAAAATTAATAAAAAATATTTGACCCTCTAATCAAAGTTAAACCATTTGATTAAAAATTAATGTTTCGTTACTGGTTTATTTTTAATAATGTATAAAAATTCAATGAAAAGTGATGTCCGTTTTTACCAGATAGCGTGTACAAGTATCAGTAAATCTGAAAGTGGTAAAGTCAAAATTATTGTATAAGTCAATTCACATTTTTGAAAATAATATGACTTCGATGTAATGCTCAATCAAGAAGTCAAGAAGATGAAAGCGATCCAAAAACCCTACATAAAGGCCGGGGCGACTAAAAAACTAAAAAAGGAGACGCGCGCACGTTTCTATTTATTTTACGCACGCAGACACCCTGTGGCCGGCTTCGAAAGGTTTTCGCGCGATTCGTTCTGCTTTTCTAATCGCTGGAAATGCAACGTTTCCTTTTGCTATTTTCCATCCTCGAAATCTATATATAATGGCGCAGAGCTCATGCTCTCTATCAAACAGCTGCAGAATATATATAGAGAGATATATCGCGTTGTATTTTCTCCGCACGGTGCATACAGGCGCGCACGTACACATACGTATACATAGAAAACCGTAGTCACGCTCGTTTCTTTCGTTTCTATCTCATTTTTGAGGTTTTCCTATGTATTATAAGTATGAGCGCGCGCGCGACACTGTGTGCAATTCGATTGGCGTGTCGTTAAAGAGCTTAGGCGCCTGATTCGAGCTCTATGTGCATTACACACCGTGCGGCGATTGTGCAAAGTTTTTTCTTTTTTTTTTTTTTGTATATTTTAACAATCGAATTACGCTCGGTTTCGCCCATCCTCGCGACCGCGTCATTATCTGTACGCATAAAATTACACTAGGCTCATCGACATCGTTTCGTCAATGGACGAAGTAAAAAAAGTCAATTTTTTTTCACTCGTCTTGTCTCGAGGGACGACGTTTGGGACTGTTTTTGCAGCGCCGCATGAAAACGAGGCCAACGCGGCGCGGCCTAGTGGAGCGTGATACACAGCGTCTGCGAGCGCGATTTATACATAATAATGAAACTTTCGTTGTTTCCCAAAGTGCGACAGGTCTCAGGAAGATAAAGCGCGAGACAGTGAGCGAGTGAAAGAGAGAGAGAGAGAGAGAAACCTGTGAAACGGATGATTGATAAGCATTATGCAATGTCTGGGCTGTGCGCGCATTTGCCATAGTACAGTTTTCTGTTGTTGATTTTTTTTCTTGTTACACTCGTTTCATCCGCTCCGCGGGCGAAACAATGGGGGAAATTATATCACAATAAGCTCATAATTTCTAACGATACGTTTTATATAAAGTGATGCATAAAACGAAAAAAATTTTAAAAATTACTTCGAGGGCTTTTCACTTGTCTATAGGCTAATAAAAAGAAGGCAGGTCGCGATCGCATCTCTATCTCTCTGCCTGTTTGCTTCGATAAGCATAAAGTGCTTATACAAATAAGATGTGTCGTTGGAATTATTATTGCGAAAGATTTTTAGCCGTGAACTTTATAAAATCATTATAGTCGCGTATGAGAAATCTTCCGAGTCGTATCACACGCCTTGTGTACAAACACACGCAGAACAGAACGCAACAAGATATATTGCGATTGTAAAGGTGGTTCTTTTGTGCGCTCGGTCGTGGTTGTATTATAACTGCAGGCACGTGAGTTGTGTACAGCTGGACGATCGTCGTCGTACATACATACGCGTACATGATAATATGCACATCGCGTATACTCGCGAGCAGCAGTTAATACCGGGAGAAAATCTTTCGGAGGATGTTCCGCGGTTTTGTGTTGTTAATATGGCTAGAGAGATGTATCTTATAGATGCACGGATGCCCGCCACGATAATTGCATTTGTGCAATGCCATTATGTATCGCGATAATAACTCACCGCGGACTTTACGAAATCGTAGAAACTATTTTTTTCTTTTTTCAAGTTGCCGAGCGACGTTCGTATCGATATAAGATACATTCGTTCGTGGAAATCGATGTTAACAAGGTCAAGGCAAAAAAAAATGAATACGCGTGATGTCAAGATGAATCACCACCCCCGAATCTATTTATCGATATTTGAAGTCAAATCTTACCTGCTGCATGACGTTCCTGAGGATAAGCTTGCACACAAGCGGCGATGAGCGCCAACACGATCAACTGCACCTTCATCATCGTTACACTTTTTTTCCAAAAATTTTCTTACGAGACACACAAGAAAAAAAAGGAGAGAGAGAGAGACAGATGAAGGTTATATACGCGACGCACGGTTCTTATTACACACTCGCGGGCGGACACACGATGGTACAACGAAGAAACGAATCGACGCGCCGCGACTGTACAATGGAGCCGGCGTAGACGTATTCACAAGTTCGCCTGCTGCTGTTTTTTCCCCGATGTAGTTGTTGTTGTTGTTGTTGTTGTCGATGCTGTACACAGGCTTGAACGAGTATTTACGGTAAGTGTGCGTATACACGTTGTTACTCGTTCGGCTGCCGCTGACGGACTGTGCTTCGCCGCCGCGATAAAGTCCGCAGCAAGGAGGAAGGCCGGCGCGCGCTCCAGGAGAGCCGAGCTGCAGCACGCTTATGGTATATCGAGAGCCCAAGCTCTCGCTTTCACTATGTACGTCTGCATGTATAGTATACATGTGTATATATTGCTGCTGCTACAGTCTCCTGCCGCTGCACAAGAGTTTCAATGCACACACATCGATTCGCAGTGCAGTGGGTGGGAGCTGTGTGTACTACTACTACTACAACGTTGTGGCATTATAATCGAGATGCATCGCGCGCGCCTCTATTGTTTCAGGTATTCTGCTTTTTTTTCTGCTCCGTTCTGTTCAGGCCGACTTTGTTTCATTGACCCAAATCGAAATCGTAACTTTTACTACATTTAACGAACGAATCGTTGCCGACGATTTTAATAATTATTTCGCGCGATTTTCTCGGTAACTGCTCGGCTGCAGCGTCGAATTAGCGTGAAAAAAAGTTGACTGTCTGCTGTGCGCGCGTATCGATGCACGAAAATCAAGGCTCGGACGCGCGCGCGCGACTCGGTACGTGCTACGCAAGTAAAATGAAAAACCGCATTTTTGCGCTCATATAGCGGCGGTCGCGCGCTGATTTATAGTCTCGACGATTCGACGAGAAAAAAAAGCGATGTTTGATGGAGTCCCTTTACACCAGACGTTGCCTCAGCCTGCCGATTCCTCAGAGCTATAAATTATTTGAAAATTTTGGAGTTTGGTTTCTAATTATCTCGAGTAGAAAAATTTAACGAGGTGGAATGAATTTATGATATTATTAAGAATTTAGTAGATTTAGCTAGGAACATTTAAATGGAATTGAAATTTATTCATGATAATTTCACTTGTATATAGGTGAAGATTCAGTGATGTAGTTCTGTTTTGTGAGTATATTTATCTGCATATTTTGCTCGTACATAGTGTCAAATTGTGCGCCTGCATGAATGCCATTTTCATTGCTATATTTTTGTGTAGTTTTAATGGCATGTGTGATGCGAATCCATCTGTACATGGCAATTCGCAATATATCATAACTGCGTAGGCCAGTCGATTTTGGAGGCAAAATATATCGCAAAGGAGCTATAAAAATCACGGTACCTCCTTATTAATATACTAGTCGTGCATTCAATTACTAATCAATTTCTCGGTAAGCAAGTGTTTACAAATAATATCAGTTAAAAAGTATAAATCTCTTACCTAAAATCAAGGTACAGTGTCGTCAACTTGAAGCTTCTTAACCTCGAATATTTTCCCAGTGCAAATCGTAAAAGTATACAGTAATTACGTTCAATCAAGGAAGTGATGGAAAGCAAAGTTGACACAATCAGGTATCACTATTTTATAAGCAAGCTTTGATATTATTTGAAGCGACTGTTTTATTAAACTCGATTTAATTATTCAGGGTGAAGAAGGAGCCCAACGATATTTGGTTAGATGCAGGGGACGATTATAATTCCAATTTGATGGACTCTTGCACAGTCAAAAACTTTAAAACATATACATCTTATAAATTATCAGTGAGTTCAATCATTTACGTTTCGATTATCAAAATTGTTACTCGATTATAATTTTAGGAAAATCAGGCTATTGTATTACAGACAAAGTTAGATGAAAAAGTATTAATCGATTTTGAGTGTAAAGGCTTTAAAACTGAACTAAAGCCTTCATCGACCCTCGTATTCAAAACTGAACATCAAAATTGCAGACCTATTGTGAAAATAGAAAACCAAATTCAGACCAGTGAAACAAATGAGAATATATTCATTGATTTTCAGTGCAAAGATATGAAATCTGAATCAACAACCACCTGCAAAACTGAGTATCAAAGTTATCAAGGAGGTGGTTATTATAAAAAGAACCAAATTATCTCATAACAAAAGTTTGTATCAAAAAACTTATAAAAAAGAAGAGAGTCTGAAAACACATATTAATACCGTACATAAGAGTATTAAACCATGTGAATGTGAGATTTGTCATAAATCATTTGGATACAAAAGACACCTTAAATCTCATGTAATGACTGTACATGGTCGGAGCATACCCTTCGAATGTGAGGCTTGCCACAAATCATTCTGAGCTAAATATAGACTCAAATATCACATCGATAAAGTACATCATCGTATCAAACCCTTCGAGTGTGAGATTTGTCACAAATCGTTTAAACATAAAGGTGATCTCAAGCGGCACGTAAGTGTGGTACATGATTAAAGCAAACCTTTTGATTGTGATATTTGCCACAAATCATTTGGAGAAAAGGGCAACCTCAAAAAACACATAAATGCAGTACATAATCATATTAACCCTTTTTAATGTGATATTTGCAATAAATCATTCGAATACAAAAGTGACCTCAATAAATATATAAATTTAGCATAAACAAACCCTTGAATGTGAGATATATTATCAATTATTAGACAGAAATATCATCTTAAAAAACACAGATGCAGTACACAATCGAAGCAAACCCTTTGAATGTAAGAAATGTCATAAGTTATATTTCACGTGAGAACTTACATCAATAATGTACATGATTCTAGCAAATCTTTTTAATGTAAGTATTGTCAGAATCATTCAGATATCAGAATAAACTTAAAAGTTACAATATGACGTTACATAATCGTGGAAAAACCTTTGGAATGTAAAAACTTGCCATAAATAATTTGGACGAAAATCAAACCTTAAAGCTCACAAAAATGCAGTTTCTGATAGTAGTAAACCTTAGAAGCATAAGTTAATGAAGACTTTTGCAAACGTTCTGTAGTTTTTTACAATCTTATACATAAACATCATTTGATTTCAATAAAGTATTTCAAATTGTTATTTTCATTTTTAATGACTTTGAACATAAACTCAAATATCATCATGGCTTAATGTTTAATTTATTCTTTGTATTATCCCTATAACCAATATTTTATTATCCAATTTATTTGAAAGCTTTTCCTAAGCACATACTGGATTGGTCCCGATTGATAGGACAGTAAAATTTCTCGCCTCAAAACTGGAATTATGTTCATTTCAACTTTTTTTTTATGCCTATTGTACTTTTGTCCTTCTGACAATATTATTTTTCTAAAAATTCTTCATTTCAAAATAATAGTTTTAAGGTAATCATATACCAAGGATTTCATTCCAACCATTTTAGTTTAAAATCAGTTGCAGTGAACTACCGAGTGAGTAGCATACAAGACACCTATTTCAAGATACACCCCTTGAGAATCGACACAAAGTTATTATAATATTACTAATTTTTTGTAATGATCCAATTTTTGAGAGTTCATTTGTTTTTATTCTATTACAAAGTTAGTCTATATTTAATGTTATTTTCAGTATAAAAAAGTAATCATCAAGTGCAACACGTATAAAATTATGCAATTTTTATATGCATCGACGGACTTACATTACAGTTTATTTTTAACATCATGGTAAATGTTTGGTGGTCGAATGAAAAAAAGCTATTTTACGATTCGATCCTTAGCTTATTCGCGAGAAACGTTTTGGGAGATTGTAGTTTTCAAAAATGTTCATTGCGAAATAGCTATTATCGTTATTTTATCGATTTACCAGTTCTCGGTGATATTCGATAAGATTATTCACTCGATTTACATAGTTTTAAAGTTGACCGGTCGAGTTGCGAAAATCGCCACTTCAGATATTTTTGACGAATAATTAGCAGATATAATGGTTGGACCTGAGAGAGAAAATTCCGTAATAGTATACTTGCTTTCACCCACAGATTTTCTTTTTTTTCTCTCATCAAAAATGATTTGTTAGTATTGCGATATTATATCAATTTTTAAATTTTCCGATTTGAAACATTTACAACAAGCCAATTACCAATACATTTGCCTCAAAGAAGATCATGTTACTATAGATTTAAAAAACCGAAATTATCTTTCTTGAAATTTCAATTTATGATCATAAGGTGCAATTCGATGAATTGTAGTTTCATGTAATACTTTCGAGAGACAAGACAGAATAAGGCAAAAGGATACTCGATTTATGATAACGCCTTTAATATTATGACATTAATAAATAAAGTATCTATTTAAGTCGATGTACGTACCGAACATATGTACAAATGTAATCGCGAGTGCGTTTGCGCAACCTCGAGGCAGAGGGTACACGATATCATGTGGTCCACACGGGGATCTCCATTCGGGGCTATCGAATCCATTCGCGTATCGTGTTCAAGCGTTCGCATGATCGGGTGCTAAGCACGTGTAAGGTATAAATTTGAACATAAATACGAGACCTCCGAAAGGAAAGTAAAAATTCGTTGATACAGCCTCTCTCTCTAGTAAAAGAGCGAGAAAGAGAGAGATGATCCTTTGGTCCGATAAAGCGGGGTAACGAATGTGCATAAGCCTACATATTCTTGAGCAAAACGCGACATATTGCGTCAATTGAGTCAGACAACATACCCCTTTTATGTATACACGAGTAGTAGCCTCATGCTCGTGATTGTATAATAATCTTTATAAGCCCAGCGTTTCTGCGCCGACACTGCAGCTATGCGCCGCAGCAACGTTCGCGCGGAGTAATCGATCGCGTGTGTGCTCTTTACCGATTTTTTTTCTGCCCGGCATTGCTGCGCGATGTATCCTCTCTCGTTGCCCAATTCACAGCTCCGCATCGAAATATTTATGAATCCAGCGAAATATCTTCATCATCGGTGCATTAAATTTTTTTTCCGCACTTAGACCGCGTCGATGGAACGTACAACTGAGAGAATCGACTCGAACAATGTGGCCGATTCGAGCCTAGATTAGAGGCGAGATTGACTATGGCTTATTTGCGCCGAGGCTAAGAGCGGCCAATTAAGGTGAACGGCTCGGCGGTTATAAAGAAGCTCGCGGGTGAACAAAGCCATGTTCGATCGTGCGCTTCGATGCGAGGTATGCAGCTGCTGCTGCCGCGCGTGCCGAAAATCTATCTGCCACGCTGAACGTTGCGTTACACTGCCTATGCATAATGTGTATTGCAACGCGTAAGCTGTTGAATTGAGGCGCATTTTTCATTGCTTCGTTACGAAGACACATTAATGGAGTTGGTATCGATAAGTATCTTGAGCGCTTTTTTATCGTTGAAGCTGTAAATGAACCAATCGCATGATAAGTTCATTTTAATACAAGTCAGTAGTTCTTTATGAAAATGATTTCTTTTTATTTTCTTGTAATAGATAAATGCGATGGATTGAATTATTCCTTAAGCCAAGCAAATGGATACTTTGTAGTTTTTAAAATAATCTCGTGTAAATGCCTTATAATTTGAGCTTTGATAGTGCATGCTGAATAGTAAACAATTAATTATTAATCTAACTTTAGTTTCACCATTAACGTAGTGTTCTGAAATTAAAATCATCTTATAAGTCCATCGATGCGATCACGAAACGCCGACGTTCGGTATACAAATTTAAAAGAAAATTGCTTACGTCTCTGTAGCGATGAAAGACAGATGAAGAATTAATTAAGGACGAAGAATCGTCGCCTCATTGGGTCGACTGAGAGAGAGAGAGAAAGGGGGGGGGGGGGCAGCACAATTCGACCTATTTCAAAGAGCCCTCCGAGATAAGGATCAAACTGGGCAAATCGTACCAAAAGGAACTCCCAGACAGTACATACAATATACATATTATTATTATGCGCACTGTGATGCAACAGCCTTGTGCGTCCCATTCCACAGCTGACTTTTAATCTTCATATATCACGTCGAGAATCACTTCCCCCAATTGTGCACGCGCATATTCGCGCGCGTCTCTAAGGATATACGTGCACATTTTGTATCCTTCGACAAAAGGAGCATTATTGTAATGACGAAAACGAAGAGGTCGCACTATAGAGGAGAAGAAGAATGTAACGAAGTAACATAACTCGAGTGAGTGTCCTTGTCGCCTCGGCTTGTACGTCGCGGGGTTAAGCTGCGAATTTGCGATTGGGAACATCGACGGGAACCTCTTGAATCTACCCAATTGTCGGCAACTCGATACACGATTTTTTATAAATTCTACACGGATCTGCAGCAAGAGAAAATTGATAAATGATTATACGATAATGGCTCTCGAGGTCGTGGTCGTCGCTATATGTAGCATCGAGTGAAAGTCTATTAGAGACGCGTACAAATAATTTTCATCAACGCCATTAGTTTTTACCATTTCTCAATGATAATTTTACGGCCTTGGCGATCGTTATACGTACCGATCGCCAATTATGTACTTCGTGTTCTCTCTTATACACGTGCACGAATCACCGTGGTAAATTCGCAGATATAAATTTTCACGAAGATCGAAGATAACTAATTGTTAGTGCCTTAAAATATCATATCAATACGTGCGTACGTTAATGGTGCGGCGCTCGAGGCCCACGATTTTATTCATCAATCCAGGCCGTTACTTCCGACGCGTAATTCAGCGTTATATATTAATCGATAATGTCCAAATATACAAACTGCCCGAGCTGCAAACATCGACGATAACAAAAAAAAAAAATAAATAAATAAAAATAAATCTACGAAGCACTATTTATTTCCATCGTTCGCTCGACGTATGTTATATACAGAGAGACAAAAAAAACCTGTAAAACGAGTCATATTCGCCGTTTGACGTACGTATGATGAATTGAACGTAATACGTATAAAGGCCCTCTCGCGCCTGAGAAATATCGGTCTCGTAAGTGCAGTACCTATAGGCGGACGAGAGTATACAAAATGCCAATAGGTAATGATCCCGGGCAAAAAGCAGTTATATCGTTTTTAAAGTCGGCAGAATTTTTTGTCGCCAATGTCGAAAAGGCGCACATTGCATTATGAACCGTAGAGCGCGCGCGAGCGGTAATATGCCCCGCGTCCTGATTTGTCAACAGGAAAACAGTATACACATCGAGTGAAAAAAGCAGAAACGAATTGAGTTATAAATCGATCCGTCGTTGAGTTCTTATGATCTATGAGAAAGTATCAGATGGATAGTTTTTTTAATTTTTCAAATAATTTTCCGTTGCGAGGATCCTCGCACGTTAACCTCAACTCCGTACTTTTTAATGCGAGCGATATCGCCATGCATAATAGCAACAATGAATGCTCCTCGCGTATACGGCACGAGGCGAGGAGGAAAAGTGAAACCGTGGCGTCGATGATGGCAATGTTTTGCCGGGCGCGAGATGCAACGAGTAAAATTACTGTTACGTGCACACCTACCAATTGCACAATCTAATTCTCTTTCTCTTTTTTCTCTCGCTTTGGTCTCTCTCTCTCTCTCTTTCTCTTATACTCTCTTATAAAAGTCAAGTATCGTCTCGTGAATCTTTTTCACAGCGCGAGCGCGAGCTTTTAATTTCCTAGTTTTGTGTCACTTCTGGTGTTGGCGTACCATGAGAGTTCGCACGTAAAACATAGCGAATGTGTAAATAGTTGATTTTTAATTTTTTTTTATTTCGTGATAAATGTTATTATAATAATAACACCTGAAAACGGCGTTAACTTCATCAATTTTATATAATTAATTGTTTTATTCATCATAGATATGCAACACCCAATCCATGTTAATATTGTTAACGAATAAGAACGAGATATTTATTTTATTTAAGTATACGGATAGTATTTCATTTGATGTTAAATTTAATCTCGTAAGGATTCAATTAAATGAAGTTTTAATAATTTGAAAATTATTCAATGATGGTTCTCAATAAAAATCTCAATACATATATATATCACTAGTGTGGATATTCATGTTTAGCTCATAAAATTCCCGTTAGGTGGCATCATGATTCAATATGAAGTTTGCTAGCTGCATACCAGCAATCGTTTTGACTCCCTATGTATGTACCGCTAAGTGGTAAAAATTATTGGCGATCGATAAGGAAGAAACCAATCAGAAAATACCTCGGCAATACCTTCACCAAAACCATCGAGTGGTCAAGATGTATTGAAATACAGTTATTCAGTTAAAAAATTTTTAATTTCGTGCAAATTTGATTTACAGTGACACATTGAAATTAAAGTAATCGTCGCTGGATATTATTTAAGGTACTTTTATATGAGATTTCTGTTGAGTGTCATTACAACTGATTTATTTTTATACATAAATTACAAAAAAAAAAATTCATGAAAATGCAATCATATAGTTCAATTAATTTTGAGTTTTCCACACTAAATGGCGAGTACCTGTACCTGCAAATCTGCAAGTAGCAAAGTGGAAATAATTTTATAAGTCAAAATTGTATCAGACAAAGTCTTCAAATTCATTTAAAATTGCGAGGTCAAAGTTGTATAAGACAAAGTCTTCAAACACTCAACACTTATACGTTAATTGTAGAACTTGGGAAATTTTTTAAATTACGAAGCAGATTTTTCTAAATCATTCCGATGTTGGTAATAAATTCAACTAATCAAGAATTATTTTATAGTTTCAATGCACTAATGTACCAAAAAGATTAATTCTACACTCAAACTGAAAGAATTTATTAAAATTTTATGCTTTAAAACTATTTTATTGGTTAGGTTAATTGATCGAAAAATTAATAAGAATTCAATTCTAATCAGAGTCAGCCTAGAAAAAAGTGCTAGAGTATCTTTATCTGTGAATCTGTAAGTGGAAAAATAAAAATGGTCGTATAAGTTAAGGGGACCGACCTGTGTTAAAAGCTTAGATTCAAAAAATAGCTATATAAATCGAAATAGTGGGAATTTTTTTTTTTGTAATCGTAAAATATGTTTATTAGACACCTGATTGACCAAAAAAAAATTTTATCCAAGCTCTGAAATGCCAATTACGCTTATTTTTTCATAATACTAAAATATTATAGTAGGATTCACTTGCCACGCGATTCTGACGTGAGCTTTTCATCAATATTGAACTATGGGGTCTCAAAATCTTCAGAAAAGTACCCTCATCCACTCAAGCGGAGCAGAATTTGAAAAAAAAAGTTTGTTTTTCTTCCAAGAGCTTTAATATGGCTTCTAGTGTTGATAAAATACTAATTTTCTCAAAAATTGGCACATTTTGACGTGTATATAAAGTTGTACGCAATTTTTCAAAATTCTGCTCCGCTTAGGTGGACGAGAGTACTTTTCTGAAGATTTTGAGACCCCATAAATCAATATTGATGAAAAACTCTTTTCAAGATCGTGCGGCAAGTGATTTATAACACAATATTTCGTCTTATGAAAAAAGTGATGTAATTGGTATTTCAGAGCTTGGGTAGAAGTTGTTTTTGGTCAATCTGGTGTAGAATGAACATATTTTACTATCACAAAAGAAAAATTTCCACTATTTCGATTCATATAGCTATTTTTAGCTGAAGCTGAATTTAAGCTTTTAACACAGGTTGGTCCCCTTAAAGCACGTTTTTCTATACGTCACACAAGCTTTCAATAATGATAAAATGGAAATGAATTTCTAAATTCGTGCGACCATCAATATCATGATGCAAAATTATCTTTTTTCGATGCATATGTAAAGGTACTTCCTCGTCGCCATTCAATAACTCCTTATACTCATGCGTTCATCGCATTTGAAAATTACATGAAAAGAAAATTAGATCATTTTTTCAAAGACTTTAGATACGGTAATATCACTTGAAACCTCACCGATAGATGGCTATTATCTTTATCTGTTAATATGCAAGTGGCAAAGTCAAAACAATTGTATAAGAGTAGTACTATTTCTATATCTTGACTATGTTAAGTATGCTATTTAATTGAAAATTGTGTAATGATCGTGCATTAACATTCCTGAGATTTATTAAATAGAGAGACAAATGTATCGATACGAAAATGATTGATGATTATTTTGTCACCGCAGCAGGTGACATCGCACTTGAATCGTCAGTTGGCAATCGAATTAGTTTCCGATGACTGTAATAGGATGATCTTAATTTCGACAATTAAAAGTTTATCAGAGGGCGTTGAGCACCAAAAATTATTCTGCTTTCAATTTTTAATTATCAAGTGATTTATTGTCGATATATACTCGAAATCGAGCTACATTTATGCAGTACAAAAAAATATATATAATTAAAAATACTAGTTTTCGATGCTTTCGTAATTCTTTACAATACTGAAATGGTATATTCGCATAGCGGTGAAATTTTTTCCTACTCAATCGTATGAATATAAATTATTATATTTACAAGAATAAAAAAAATGCATTTATTTACAACTGCTATCACATACTTATAACATAATCACATATTACAAGTTAACGCTTTGGTCTGTTTGATTAAGTAGCACGTCCAATTTACGTCGATTTATAATATGCCACTCTCGATTCGCGAGTCCAATCAATGAACTCGCGAAATCATGGATAATTTGCCAGGATAATTCAGCGCTAAGTCAATTAGGGCCTTTTTACACACAAACACACACACACACACACACATGCATAGCCTGGAGATTCGAATAAATGTAAAAGTAAATATAGAAGCCGAGGAATTGGCCGAGGTCCAGCCTCGCGTCGTATAAGAGCCTCAAACTTTTCGCGTATATTTTTCTTTTATCATTGATGCTAATCATCGTCCTCATCATCATAATTCTGGATGGGCTTCTCGAAAACGTGCTCCCAGGCGAACAGATAATTCTTGTACTTGAGCAAGATGCCCCAGTCGCGCACGATTCGGTTCGTCTCGTCCAGGTGCTTGCGATCCTCGCTCGTCATGATTTCGCGCCCGATGGGGTCCGGTATCTTCGCTTGCATCGACGCGATGCTCGTCTCCACCTCGCACAACAGCGATTTCAGATAGTTCTTGGTCGAGAACAGGGCGTCCTTGACCTTCTTCCTCCTCTGCTCGTCGCCGTGGACCATCTCGAGGGCCATGGCAAACTTTTGCAGGTCCGAGTGCAACATCGGCATGAGATCGGCTATCTAAAAAAAATACAGCAGTGACAATTAGTATCGAGATTCGAGCGCACGCGCGTTCATATTACGTGCAATTGACGTATTATTATCGTACAAATATTGCAGAAATTTTGCTCAACAATGCGACACTCGCCTATCAAATTGTGTACCGTGAGTCGTTGCATTGCGATGCATTTACAATATAATATAGCAGGGTATTAAGATACAAGTCCGAGATCTATCTATCGATATTAATATTTCACACATTGGGCACTGCGGAAAAGTTTACTGACGACCCCTATATTGCGACCGAATCTTGGAGAGTCGTTAAACTCAATACGTCGTCGCGATCTCGCTACAAGTCCGAGGCTTTGAAAGTTGCCGGCAACGGAGCATATACACGTGCACCGACACGCAACGCAACGCTCGTTTGTGCACTCTCTCTCTCTCTCTCTCTCTCTCCTGTAGCTGATAGCGCGATTACGCAGTCGCGCGACCGACCCGGCTATTATATATATATGCGTGTACGTTAACACATATATCTATATCTGTATATTATATATAGGCAGCCCGGTGCGAAGCGCCGAGAGAGAGAGATGCGCTGTTTCGCGTGCGCGCGCGCCTCATGCTCGCCTGGTACTTTATAATAATTACCGTCTCATTAAAATTTGTTATTTAAACGTTAACCAATTAGGATGGGGTGTGCAATCGGACGTGGGGGAGAGAAAAGAGTGTGGCCAGGTGAATGAATGAATGAAAAAAAGATGAGAAAAAAAATTAGAAGTAGAGGATGATTTAGATGCATAGCCATGGATGGAGCTTCATAATGGGCTTATATTATATTCCAAGCGTGTATCCGGCTTAACCCCGGAGTCTGCCTGCGTCGAACTGCACTCGAAGATCCATAAACGCTTGTATAATATCATATACGCTTGGCGAGCTTTCGTTCTGTATAATTATATATATCGTATAGCTTTTAATGGTATTTGAACGGATCATGATTAAATTGAGCGTTTATAATATTATTATAACTGAACGAACGCGGGAATATTTCAGTTCGAACGATACGAATCTCAGGGCTGTGCTTTTATTCAGCTCGAGCTTTTCCCGATTCTCTATAGCTTTTGAGCTTTTTTTTTATTTAAATTTATATTTGCCTAGTCTGCAAGATTTAGGAGAAAAATTTGAACGAAACGATTCTTTCGAAAAATTAAGAAACAATAATATCACTCACCCCCTTAAATCTGGCCTTGGTGAGATCCTTGATCCAGCTCGTATTCCAGGGCAACCAGTTCGGCACGTAGTGTTTCTCTTTCAAATCGTTCGACGCGTCGTCGTACAAATAATCGTAATTCTGCTTCTGGAAGTCGTTGAAGACCAGCTGGAACTGTATGCGCACGCTCATCATGCTCGACCTGACCTCCGACTTTGACGCTCTGGCGCCGATTGAGATGTCGTTGAGGTGAATGCCGCAGGGCTTGTGCCAGTAATGCTCCCCGCCGTGACGATTGTGATGAGGCTCACTCGCGCCACTACTGAGGTACTTTGGAGAGGGCGCAGCGTCGCACGGCAGAAAGCTCGTCGCCAACGCGCTCAACCATATACACGCGATCAGCAAAAAGCTCGACTTGCGCATACTTTTTTCTTTCTTCTCTCTTTTTTTTTTCGTAAAGGTAGTAATTTCACTGAACCAAAACTATCCGCGAGTAAACGGAACACACTGTAACTTGGAAGCTCAAAAGCGCACGTTGTTTTTTTTTTCAAAAGCTATTACAGTTCGCGGTGTGTGCTTTCGCGTCTGTGCAAGGGGCTGCTGCTGCTGCTGCGTGAAGCAGACGCGCGCGCGCAAAAATGCCAGCGTCGTCTACTCCTCGCGATCGCTCGACGCCTTCGCTCGTTTGCAAACTGAGTTGTCCAAAGCGTGCCACCTCCGCCTTTATATATTACGATCGGGTAAATAATGATAAGCGGCCACACGAGCGCGCGTTACAGTCAGGTTACACACATCTACTACACAGGTATATAGACGCGCTGCCGCCTCGAAGAGTTGAGCCGGCCGGCGCAGTGAAATATATGTATGTCTGTGTGTGTGTGTGTGTGTGTGTGTGTGTGTGTGTTCTGCCTCACACGCACTCGCGCGAAGAAGAAGCCGCGCACAGCGAATCATTGAAAAACGCGACGAATCTTGTGACTTTTATCGCGCTGCCGCTTATTATTTGACGTAGGTACTCGTACAAGCGCGCGCTCGGCGGGGCCTATCTTACCCGTGGATCTTCGACAATTTGACAATGTTGCCGATCGAACTTTATACATTTCGCTCTTTGCTTCACTTCCGCAATAATAAAAAGCAGGATTGACAATTCATCATCGCTGCGCATATATGCAGGTCGCGGTATCTATTGTTTATTTATGCATTTATTAATAGATCTCGTGCATGATTCACTCGAGGGAAGCTTTCTATTTTCATTATGACATCGTCGATCGGAGGAAAAAAATCGTTTCTCGCTCTGGGCACTGCGCTGCGCTTCTCGAGTGCCGATCGGCTAGCGATTGCCCGATCGATAAATGTATATATCATAAATCGCGTCAAAAGATTCTGATCCACGAGTGCACGCACGATTACAATGTGCATGACACGACGAGATTCGCGCGAGCAGCAAAATATATAGTATATACGATTCGGAATCGGGGGATTTTTCAATGTTTATCCCGCGGTTTATCAGCTGTTTATAGCTGGCTGGCATTATGGCACGCGGTGTGAGCTTGCGCACGTGGGTGGGTGGGTTAAGGTGGGAGAGCTAGCGCACGGCAATATACAATATATAGTTTGATAAGATTCGAATTAGTCATCGATACATAGTTTTTTTCAATCCGTACGCGATTGCGTGTCGTACTTGTATGCGGCTACTGCACTTGAAGCGTATACGCGTGAAACGAGTGCGCCGCACTCGCGGTGCCTATATCATCATCCTCGTGTTGTATTATTAGAGGGGGTAAAAAGTGTCTGCTCGCGTTCTCGAATTCCCTGCGAGATGATTCACGGTGTCCCCCTCGGAGTATACAGGTAGAGTGGGATACGGGAATTTTTATTCGTGTCCGTTTCATTGGCCGATATATTTATTGCAAATCGTCGCGTTGATTGTGTTTCGATATATAATAATACCTATTGTAATTTTGACATAATACGACAATCAAATTATTATGTCGATTTTCATCGGTCACGCGTGCCACACAATAAATAGCCAAGAGCTTTTTTTACATCGGGCAGCACTTGTGCGGAGAGCTTAATCGTGTGAACGTGACTCACGCACGTACATACATAATGATTATCATTACCTGTATAATCCGCGAGCGCATATAAGTTTTATTTATTTTCTTTTTTTTTCACGTACGTCAGACGCGTGGCTCGCGCGCGCATTCACACACACATTTACACGCACACACATTGCGTCGGATTTGAGATATATACAATGTCTCTCGGAAGAAATGTCAAGTCCTACGTCACGAGGCTATTATTACGGTGCGGCGCATACGCTAAATAATCAAACCGATCATCGAGTATACCGATTTTCCCGGTATACGTATGGTAACATAGCTAGTGAGCTTTTTCATCGTCTAAAATTTGAAGCTCCAGAAGTAGCGTCTCATCGTTTCGAAGCACATAATCGTGTGGATTCTATGGAATTCGCACGTATTACATAGATGTATATACGACAAGTACGTCAGATGCATAAACGACGGCGTAACAATTAGCGAGTCTCGTCACGACTAATGTATATAGAAAATTTGCATATACGCGAGTGCGTATAAATAGACATTTGAATTATTTAAAGATCGGGCGGGGATTGCGCGTGTTTGCACCGACACGAATCACGATCGGTAGATATAATCAAATTCCTATCTTCTTGAGCTGCAGTAAGAATTTACGCACGCAACTATCGAAGCTCGCCCTCTCGCGGCCACGCATTTGAATATATTTAATTTTTTTTTACGCACAAGTCAAAGAAATCACCATATACCTAATCTAAATAAAATTAAATTCGGGACTCGAGCGACTCAACCGAAATCGGAATGAACGTCACGACGCGTGTGTACTCGCAACACATATTTACTGTATATAATACAATAAATCACGTGCGCGCATGCAGAGAGAGACCGAGAGGAAGAAAGAGAGACACTTTTATATATTTAGTTTTATTTTTACCTGATCGCGCTTCGAATGCGTCAGAATAAAGGTACATTTTTAATTGCAAGAGAGCGAGAGAGACCGTACTTTCCTCAAGTCGATCGACCACCTCTCGCGATCGGGTGTGAAATTGACGTACTTCCGTTGACGTACTTTTATACGACTTGGGATTAGTGTCAGTTATTATGATATTAGAATCGAGTGCTATATCAAAATAGTAATCGTTTTCGTGGCTACTATATCTCGCCGCATCTCTATGGGTCGAAGAAAATTTTTACATATCTAAGTCGAAAGAAAATAATCAAAAGAAAATAATAATTACAATTAGCGGATACACTCTCTTTTATCAGCTCTCGCGCACGCGCGCGTACGCCTTTATCTCACTCCGCGGTCTCTTCCTCGCGCGCGCGTGCTCACGTCTGTTCATTCAAGTTTGCCGGTGTCTGTATTATTACGTACACACGCGACATTTTCAAAACAAACGTTGTATATAGGTATATGTAAGAGAGCGAAAATAATATGGCTATCTCACGGCGTACGCGCGGCTTCTATAAAACTCAGAGAGTATAATAATGTTTGCTCAGTGACTCTCGGTCTGGTGCGCGTCATATATAATGACCGCTCGAGGATCGCCGCTGCACACGCGTGTGCTGCATTTCGCGGGGAAGTCTCGCGTCCATCGATGAGTAGGTCGTCACCCATTCATTCATTCTGACGTGTACAGCTATACGAGAGGTGTATACGTGACGCTCGGAACGACGACGACGCACATGCACTTGGCTTCTACCCATCCTTATCGTGCAAATTTGCCATTGTCTATGAGGCAAGCTCGTATTTTTGTCTCAGACGTGTTATAGGCACGCCGAATATCGATCGCCGCGATTACTCACTATGTTTTTCCTCAATTCTCCATTCATCTCCTTTTTAGTACATATTTTCAATTGTTTAATGGGTAATAAAGGCATAATACATTTTTGATTGATCGAATTACTGTGGGATGAGTAGAGCACTAAAGAAAAAATAATTGGCTCGATGATTGCGATCGTCGGTCGCAATTATAAATACCTCGAGTATGCGCAAGGGAGTACACTTATCACGACACAAATTTCGCATTGATGCGCGTGAGTACATTGCGTCTTAACTTCGTTCGCGTGCCCGAGATAGAGTAATATTTTAATGGTATACAAACACGATAAAGTACTCACATATAAATAGCCCAATATATTATGAATTCAATTAAAACGATTGAGCAATTTTCATTAGAAAAGAGTTTGATAATTTATTGGATCGACAAAAGAGCCGATCGCTGATCGCTACGCCAGATCAGTCGAGATCCAAGTAGCCTGATAATAGAATAATTTTGGAGCTGTCTGATGTTCTGTTTGCTTGCGGTATTATATTAATAGGCGTGTACACTATATATAAATATAGATCACTTGACGTTTAAGCAAACACGCCTTAATCACGGGCAGCAGCAGCAGCGATTCGACTTAAGGTCAGTGTTACTACGAGGTGTGTTTATTAACGCGATGCACGCGGTGTTATAGTTGAATTGGCACACATTTTGAAACTTTGTGTAAGTGCTAGACTCGTCGCTAGTTAACAAGAAAAAGAAAGAGAAAGAGAAGAAAATGTATTATATAACTCACTGTACTATCATAATAATTCCATTTGAATACTTTGCGATAAAAATTGTTTGCTCACGCGGTGGCCCTTTATACCAGATACAACGTCTTTGTAGCATAACATAATAGAGCGAGCGATGTTCGGTCTCGTTGGCGCCGGTATTACGTCTCGTTATTTGTTATAAAAAAACAGAGAGCAAATATTCAATAAAGCGTAAAATTTCATCAGTTATCAGAAAATCATCAGCAGCAGCACCGGTACACAAGCACCGGCTGCTGTACATAGTCTATGTATACATACGACACAGCAGGGATGAACGGCCCCGAGCACATTTTATATATACGTTATATATTTCACCCTGAAACTCTCTCTCTTTCTCTTTGTAAAACGATCGATACGTGCCGTTGCTGGCGCTATTCGTGCCACAGGAGGGATGATGCGCACACCTGTAGCCATGGTCTATGTGTGTGTGTGTGTTTGTGTGGATCGTTACACCAGCTTCTCTCTCCCTCATCGAAACACTTGCCGTCGCAGCCTATTATCCTGATAAGTCTCGAGGCTCCCTAGGAGTCCTACGAGTCGATAAGGGCTAACAATGCGCCGACAATGTCCGAGCTGCTGCTGTACCGCTTTCTATCACTGATTTTAGGCTTCGCTTCGACAAGAGCGAGGGATTGCCTTGACTCTCCTTGATGAACGATATGCGCGTTGATATTGTAAATTTGACCGAGAATCGCTCGATGTATTATTATTATATTCGTATCGATTCGATTGTTGCGTGAAATTATTTATTAAAGTTATTGAATACAAATTTTTCGTACGATAAAAGATCTCGATTGTTCCAAAGTCGTCGTCTTCGTGGACAATTCTCGAGGAACATGTCTTAGGAGCATGCAAATGTCAACGACCTTGTTTCAATGGCACACGGCCCAGTGTATACGTCTACGGAGCGCGCAAAAAATCAAATCTCTCTTTCTCTCTCTGCATCCCCTTTCAAGTACGCGCATGCTCCCTCGTTGCTTTGCGCATTATCGATGAGTTTCCGGATGCTGCTGCTGCTGCTGCTGCTGAGGGTGGTGTTGGTGTTGGTGGTGGTGGACGCGCAGCGCTGCTTTTCATACATGTACACATCCACACGAAAGAGTGTGTGACGCGCAGAACGTGCCGGTATGTATGTATTATTCGCGTGTAAACGTAGACACACACAGAGGCAAAAGCAGCAACAGCTCTACGCACGCCATGATAGCCTGATAAGCAAAATCGAAGCTTCGCGCCTGTTTACCGATAGGTGATATCACGCGCCGCCGTTACGGCTGGCTGCGCACGTTTAATTAATTATTATATAGGTACGTGCTCGACGCTGCTCGTTTTTTTTGCACTGATAATACTCTCTATGTAATTGACTTTCTCTCAATGAGAGAGCCCCGATGAAGCATATATGAGAATGTGTGCATTGTACTCACGCGGCTGTGGCGGTGGCGGCCCGAAAGTCAAGTGCAGTCAGCAGTCAAGTGTGCTGCTCGTGACGTTCGTTCGCGTCGCGAAGCTTCGTCGTCTTCTTCTTCTTTTTCTTTTCTCTATTGATACTTCGACGTGTTTCGAGGAAAACAATTGACATATAATGATGTTATTTATTATTGCTCGCCTTTTTTTTCTCTTCATAAATATAATCATGTATACGTAATATTGTATACCTACGCAATTGATATTATTGAAGTGACTTGTGCAGCCAATGCAGTGTATTGATACAGCGATATAAATTAGTAACATCGTTGCCAATTTTTTTTCTTCTTTACGACTCGTACTAGGAGCCATTTTTCAGAATTGATCTTGTTTCTCTCTGCTCTGCTCTTCTCATGGTGTTTGCTGTAAGTTTTTTCGACAGCGAGAGAGCAAATATGAGAAAAAAATTCAGCAAATATACCAACTCTGAGCACAAGCTTCGATAACTGATTTCCTCCTTCGCGCTATTTTTAACGTTAGAATCATAAGATAATGAAGTTGAAATTAAGCAATAATTTTAATGATAACAAAAGTCTCGACGAGATGTTTATTTTCTTTTTACAGAAATAAGAAAAAACGCATGTATATTATATGGTTGAATAATATTTTATTCATCGCAAAAAACTATTATAAACATTTTTAAATGTATATTCGTACAGTTTCTGTGGGGAGCGGGGAAAAATGTAAATTTCACGAGTGCGAACATATAAGACAATTATACATATAACAAGTAAAATATTTTTTACGTATACAACGATGGTAACGTGGATATCATATAATTATTTAATGCTTGTAATCCTACATTGTTATACATCATATAGTACGTGTATGCCCACTACATAAAATCTTCCAGATATGCGTAAAAAATAATAATAAAAAAATTGCGATAGTGACCGTAGGACAGAAACTATTATAAGTTATGATAAACTAATTGCCATACAAATGATTACAGTGTGTGTAGGTGTGTGATCGATGATTTCTCACATCAGAATTGAAATTTTCTCGCGCGAAAATTTCATCGATTCGAAAAAACATCAAACGAGTACTGAGTTCCTATTTAATTATCGTCTTATTTATGTGCTACAAATTACGTAACAAAAAAAGAGATTCCGTCTCATAGGTATATTATGTAAAAAAAAGCGAAAAATAGTCGAGAGATGTCAAAAATATGTCTACTACCAAAAATAAAAACACTTTGTACAATTGTTACTTGAGCAAGCTCGTTGCCACAATGGAATGAGTAAAATTCATTTTTTTTCATGCTATTAAAGTAAAAAAAAATGAAGAAAACACATGGAAAAACGTAGGAACTCGCTAAGGTCCGCGTACGTTCGTTTTTCATATCACAGCTAATGATTCCAAGCTCATTCGTCGCGTATTTTCGTATAAAAACGGCGCCTGAAGCTTTTTTACATTTACATTGTCCAATGTAAAAAAGCACGATAATTCGTTGCGTTACGGGAATTCACTTACGGACTATAACATATAAATTTTTTACAAATTCTTATGTAACTACGTCGTGGATGTCTATTATAATTCTTGTGAGCATCCAAAAATTCTATTTGGACTTGAGAGCCTTAACGAGGACGTTGATGAATCGACAGATTCCGACATAATGTACAATTAGAAAATTGACTATGATTATAAATCAATGCTGTGTTGTCGAAATTTTCACAAAAATTCCCTGCAAACTATTTGTAGCAAATTTTTAAATTATTTTTTTCAAAGTTTCACCCTGAATGTAATAATTCTAATGATCGTTTCGAGTACTATTTCAGATTATCATAATTATAGTTAATTTATCTACAATTTTGCTAATTTTTTTTCTGACACACTCGGTGCTCAGCGTGGGTATCGTCTGTCGAGCAAGCGACGAAATTTCGTCCAAAAAAGAAAAAAATCAAATACCTTTGAAATCTATCGATTCACGCGTGAAGTGGACTGCGAATTAATTTTTTTACTTTAATTATTATTGCAGATAACGGATATCTATATGAATATACATTAGATATTACTCGTTATAATATAAATTTCGATGTACAACTATTCATTTTCATTGGGGCAATAAAACGCACTCGTTCAATCTCTCTCATCCAGTCCAAAGAATCGATTTTGCCATCGGGTCGCGCGCTAGCTACATCGACCCTCGTAAAAATCGAAAAATAATTTATTCCTACTATACAACGTAGATTCACGCACACTCAATGGACAAGCAATGCTTTGCGCATTGCCTCGATCGCTTCGATAAAATATTTTATCTTGTACTTTTTTCAATTGTTACATTTTATAAAAATTACGTTGTATACGAGTGACGCTCGCACTTGATTATAAATTTGCTACTATCGAAAGAAAAAAAATTTTTTTTCCCTTGAATTATGCATTCAGTGCCAATCGATAAAAAAAAAAACACATAGTAGAAACACGAAGTAATACTGTTGAGACACAATCGAGTCGGTCGTGTGCCCGACAATCGTGATCAAAGTAACGATAAAATTTTCTAATGATTGCGTATGTACAATAAGTATAAATACACAGAGATACAAATACAAACTTGCTACTTAAATTAAAATACTAAAAAACAAATAATTACACGGCTACATAATGCGATATATGTAGTTCTGGGCCTCCATTGCTATTCATGTCATCTTTCTCGGTCGCTTTCGCATGGCTTTTCGCTGCTGCATTCGCCTGACCTGCTGCATGTACGCTTTGTTCTTCAGCTGCTGCTGCTGTTGCTGCTGCTGATTTTTCTTCTTGTTCTTGGCGACTTTCTGCTCGTTCGGCCTCTTCTTGCTGTTATTGTTGTTTTTGTTGTTCTTGGTCGCTTTCTGCACCTTCTTCGGCTTCTTGGGCTTGAAGTAATTGCTCAGAGGCCGCAGCATGGCGGGGTCGCAGGTGCCGGGCCCGGTGGCCGTCGCGTTGCGCAGCGCTCGGATCCAGTCGTTGAGAAAGGCCTGATAGAGCCGCAGCACGCCCGAGTCCTGGATGAGCATGAGGGTGAGGTCGCCCTCGCGCGCCCAGTTGGAGCTGCCCGTGACGAGGGTGGCCTTGTAAGTCGACGGCAGCTGCAGGCCCAGATTCAGGATGGCCGTCTCGACCTCGCACAGCATCTGCGGGGGGCCAGACAAAAATGCCATATTATAACGTTTTATTTTTGTTTGTTTTTTCGATCAACGATCGGAACTATATTACACGCGTTGAAATGACACGTTCGAGTACTTAATTGCTTTAACTTGTTAGAGAGCGTGAACTAAAAAAATTTATCTAATTGATAGTATAGTAAGATTAGGCCAGTATAGATTGAAATACATCGATCAATATTTTAATTGCTATAGTGAACTCATTTAATTGTGATACAAATCTACGCCGCTTGGACAATTAATTAATATGAACGTCAATTATGGTGATTCCAAAGCCGGCCGAAAATCAAATTTTCAGTTCCGTTTGTCAAAATTCATTTTTACGTTATTCAGGATGTCACGGGACATTTTGAAGAAGTTTTCAATGCAAGTCAAGAAAAACGGAAGTAGAATTTTGATTTTTGATAAAAAAAAAACTTTCGACGCGCAAAAAACTCACCCGCAGGATCTCGCTGTTCATGCCGTCGATAATCTGATTTCGTCTGATCATTATCGTGTCGGCGTTGATGCTGGACCTGAGCCGAAACTCGCGCAGATGATGGAAGGTGATGGCGAACCTCTGGAGGGCGTCGTGCAGCCGCGGCAGGGCCCGCTCGGCCTTCTTGCCTTTCTCGAGGCACCAGACCTCGCGATGATACCACTCGAGCTGACGCTCGGGCAGCCAGTTCATGCGGTACTGCTCCCTCAGCACTTTATACACCTGCGCGCAGAAAAGAAAAACGAACGAATGAAAAAAAAAGCTCCAACGTTTGTAAGCTGAAACGTTGACTTGTATACAAAGAAGAGTTAGCGCGCGATTCTGTTTGTTTATAGAACGATTTTTGCGTCTTTTCTTTCGTTTTTTGTTTAATCAGGAGAAAAATGAGATGTCGGCGAGGTATCACGCCTCCGCGCGCGCGGAGATGAATTACTTTTTACACAGACGCGGTATTGCTTTACGCTGAATTTCGAATCGTGTGTGTGTGTGTATTTATGTATATATTGTGCACGCGCGCGATTAAAAATGACTCATCAATGGCGTTTCAAATGAACGAGCCACCTGTTTATATTATGCAGTGGTCGGTGCCTATACGGTGCCGTGAAGTTGTTTTGATTTTTATTGTTTTTTTTTTTGTTTTGAAAGCTATATGAATAAAAAAAAAAAATAATAAGAAAGGCGAATGGTAACAATAGACGTCTTTGAACAGTCGACGATTAAAGTGTTTAGTCTATTGACGATGATAACAGAAGTTCAAAGTCGAATCGATCTTATGAAGTAGCTGATCTGTATTGACAGACATCTTGCCACTTAACAGGCGAACCCTGTTGTTTCGACTATTGAGACAAAAGCTAAGGTTTGTTTAAAGATTTTATGAAATGTGCTTGTTTCGAGATACTGATGTATAGTGTAAAGGTACATTGAAGGCACTAAAGACATATTTTCTGGAGTAAAAATACTTGTAAAACATAACTTTACATCAGGCACTAAAAATTTAAACATTATGATTTCATTTTCATGTTTTTAATTTACAGAATTTAGCACAGATGTATGCCTTTAAATTCAAAGTATCTTTGTAATTATCTACTTTTTGTCTAATATTAATGTAAAACTGAAGTGTAAATGCAATATAAATAATTTGAACGCGCTCCCTCAGTTTTCCCGCAGCATTCTTTATGTTTTGAAAATCACTGGCAAAAAAATCCTCAACTTCATATAGTACAACCTACCTTGGCGTATATTTCGTGTATGTCCTTGAGATCCTTGCGAAAGTGATTCTGCGCCACCCTGAGCTGGGTCTTGACGCGCTTCAGCGCCCTGTGCACGCTGTGCCGCTGCGGGAACTTGCGCAGCGCCGCCGCCACGGGCGTTCCGCAGGGCTGCAGCCACGGCTCCGCGAGGCGCTGATCGTCCACGTACGACTCGCTGTAGACCTGATGATGATGCGGCGGCCTCATCATCAGCATGCCGTGCTGCTGCTGATGATGATGCTGATTGTTATGATGATTCTGCTGATGATGATTGTGATAGACTGGATGGGCCGGTGCCGCGTTCGCCATGCCGCTGTTGTAGCCGAAGCCGAAGCCGTTGCCGCCGCTGCTGCTGCCGTTGTAGCCGCTGCCGGCGCTGCTGTCGAGTTGACTCAGGCTCGAGCTCAGAAAAAACGCGAGGCTCGTCAGGGTAGCCGTCTGTGCCAGCGAATCTGCAATTACACGAGGCCAAGAGCGGATGCTCGTTAGTGCACCGGTTTGTTAAAACGTGCTAGAGAGCTATAATAGGTGTGCGTATATATAATTACAATTAGAAATGAAGCGGAAAGATTATGGAATTTTAAGTCAAGTAAATTAATGACTTATGGTACGATAACTAGTCGAGTACAACGCAAATAAGTTGGATTTGAGAAAAATAATGGCCATTTTTGGAAGATTTTAGCCACTTGAAAATTAATGTAATCAACTTTAGGCTAAAACCGATTGCTCTCGATTCGATCAAGAGTACAAGTACAATTAATTGAATTTTTTGATGAAAAAAATTTCGATCTCACACGAGTATACGGATAGATTAAACGTGATCGATCGATCGTAAATCAGCGTTAATTTAAGCTATAGATATCGTGCATCATTTATTTAAGTACATTAAATACTGACGAGTACTTATTTCAAGTTATTACGTGCACCAGCACGGACAAGTGCTATTTGATTAGGTCGATTTTAATAAAATTCGCAAAATTTCCAAAGATCCATCGATACGTACAATTGAAAAAAAATAGGACGGTCATTTAAAAATAGGCATCCGGTCTCGCGCCTTTATGGATATATTACAGTATAGGTACGTACAAAAGGCATAACTGTCAAGTATAGAGATGAGAGACGCAATCCGCTCTCTCTAATGCGCCCATTCGAATACATTATGAGCTCGTTCATTAAGGATAATATTACACACACACACACGACGCGGCCCTCAGTGGCTGATAATACTGTGTCTACATCGAGATCGTAAAACGCACACTCGACATTATCATTCATACCGCGCGCGAACTCTCGGCTATAATAATAATATAAAATAATAAGCGATCCGCGTGCGGCAAATAAAGTACAGTTTTAGCGTCTAACTTTCATTCGATAACGTATGCGCGCGGCGCAAAATTGAAATGCCGCAATCGACAAATCCTGAAATATCGAGCGACTTAATATTCGTACAATACCACGGAGCGCAATTAATCGCACAAGTAGGCGCTAGCGCCGCGAGACAACGCGATATTATCTCTCTCTCCTTCTGCCCGTAAAGATGCAATGTTGAAGTTCACGCGTCTGGTAAGTATAATAATACACAATAAATGTGTGTGTGTGTGTATGACTTTCACGCCTGGGCGCACCCCACACTTGTGTGTATGCCGCGCTTCTCTCGCGCCGAGATATGAGATGTTGCGCGCGGCCTATGTACTTATTTCATTGTATAGACTCTCTGTATGTATGCGCGCGACACCTACGCGCCAATTTGAAATCATACGCGCATTCGCGCGTGTATATACACCGCATGGGATATCGGACACCCCCGCGCGCGGGCGAAAGGAAACGTCCTTAAGATACGAGGCATATACGAGTGCTGTGTGTGCGGGTATAAAACCGACGGAGCCGAGCAAGAGAGAGAATCTACTCGATTTATTACACAATTTGTAGGCGCGCACAAGAGCGGCGACGTTTTATGATCACTCGTCGTCGGCGGCGGCGGCAAAAAAAAGCTCATAATACGCCAGCTCTCGAACCGACGCGATTTGTCGTACATTTGGTATATACACGCATACAGAGGCGTGCATCATTTTCACCTCTCTCAAAGTACGATATCGTCCATTATTATCTGTCGTTTGAAAAATTTTATATTTTTATACCTCACGTGTGGTGAACTTTATTTCGATAAAAATCAAACGAACCCATAGTAAATATTTACTCGTATGTTCAAATAATATTACGCAATATATTCGCCATACATAATTCGTGTATTGTCATTCCCGATGTGTCAGGTTCAGAGTCGTACGAGCCGAATAATATAATAAGATAGTTCACGATCCGTCGGATATCGATACGATTTTAATGTATACTACTACCAAACACGTGACTGCTCTCCATTGTAATCCGTGTATGTGTACATTTGTAATTGAATAAACGTAACATCTCGTGCTGAAATATTCCATGACTCGCCGCCCGGTATGACCCCCCTTGTTACTTGGGTTGATCACAAAGAGGACTTGTACAATGGCAATTTGTGCGTAGGTGGCAAATACGCGCACAATCGTTGCCCAGGCTAATAACACGTATATATGTACGTCACTCGAGGGGGTCTAAAAAAAAGTCGCGATGTGCTCGCGCGAGCCCATTTAAATACGCGTTACAAATACATTATACACGCATAAGCATAATAGGCGTGTAGCGCGTGCGCTCAGGAAACATTAATTTCGAGATTAATGTGCGAACACATACACTCGCGCTGCAAGCTCCAGTTTTCTTCCGCGTTAAATATCGCCTACGAATATTATTATTATTGTATGTGTATCGTGTACACGTGCAAACGGGCGAGGAATAAAATTGTCAATTCATAGATGCATGGTATAAAAAACAAGTCATATTTAGCTTCCTTGTTGTATATAGGCGCTGGCACGCGAGGAGGGTGTAGAAAACAACCGAGTCGATGTGGAAATACGACGTTTGTCTCTTTTACTCGATTTTCTCGCTTACAAATGCGACTGCACAAACAAACGAACGCGAATATTTGTAACGACGCGAGGTCGACCTGTCTCTCTCTGTGTCTGGCTCGATCTCTGTGCTATATGCACATCGCTCGCTACACTCGCAAAAGTATAAGCTAATTATTATTTTTGTTTTCTCTCTCTCCTTTTAAAGCGAATATTCTTATATCACGCTCGCTATATAGATGGAATTTTTCGCGAGCGATAAATGTTACGTGTGTGTATACGATGTGCAAGCGCGACTACTGCGGCTATGGTACATATGGTGCAGCAGCAGCAGCAGCAGAGTCGAACGAGCGGGCCTCATTACACGTTTCGAAGCGTATAATCATCATCGCGCGAGCAATGCGGCAAGAAAGACATTTACTCGGTAGCAGCAGCAGCAGTAGTCGATAGGCTTGCCATTCGTACAAATGCCCATATAAGTTTCTCTCTTTCTCATTTTTTCTCTTTCTCTCATCGATCATTAGAGGCGTTTCTTATATACTTTTCTCTCTTTCTCGGTCGATATCGTGCGCTGCGTTTGACGGCACGTATTGGACGAGGGAATCGGACACGAATATTCCTTAAAACCAATCATCATTTTCACATGAGAGAAACAGATATATAGTCACGCGTTACACACAGCCGAGGCCGAACAAGTAGGCAGTGGCAATCGTCGTATAGGTATATTATATCGTGCACACACACGTCATACACGAGCGTGACGCTGATGTGCAGTGAAATGATTGCTTCCAACAAAGAAATTAGAAACGAGTCCTGAAGACCGCTTCTACTTCTTCTTTTTTTTTCAAAAAAAGCTCACAGCACGGAATACACGTTATGCTGTATAGTGTATATATCTCGAGGCTCTCTACGCCGCACTCCACGTGTGTACTAAGTTATAATTTCGCTCGGAACAAAAGTCGAAACAAAGTAGCTGCAGCAGTCGACGATCGTCGACGAGAGCGCAAATAAGGCATGCGTATATAATATTAATACACACATACGTGTGTATGATGTAGCTCCGAGAGTATATAGAAAAAAAATCACGTTACAATGTATTATACGCGGCATAACTCAGATGCTCGCTCGCGAGAGGCATAATCGTCGAGTATAATAACGCGCGAAAAGAGAGAAGGAAGATTGTTGGTTTCGCGGTCGTCACCGTCGCAGTCGACGTCTTCGTCGTCGTCGTCTTCGCGTGTGCTCGATGATGTGCGCACATTTATATATCGTACAGGCGCGGCTTATCCTCTGGCATTAATGCCTTCCTTTATTTTTTCGTCCCTGCGAATGTAAAAAGAAATTCTCTCGTTTGCGATCAATGAAGACATTACGAAATTCCATGTACGAGGTGGGAAATAGAAAAAAGCTCAAAAAGCTCGTGATAATCCCAAAAATTTCAGGTTCACGTCTGGCATCGAATACATCACATTCAATCGTGCTCTGTGCATCAACGAGTTAAAATGCATTACTTATAACACAATTTATCAACTTTTTTTCGCGGCAACGACGCACGCGTACACACGGTCCATCGTCATCCTCTTGTCCCATGTGAGTCTTTCACGCTGACAACCTACCAGATTTTACTTCTATATATAAAAGTATACAGTGTGTGTATGCGTTTGAGTTTCTGTGCTTTTTATATACGCGAATATATACTTAAAATATGACACTGAACCGACTCGCAGTATAATAACCTACATATAATACGCTATATTAGCGCGTGGCATGCATTATATACATCACAGACTCTCGAGATGTTGTGTACTGCATTACCGGAGAGCAAGAGAGAGAGTGAGCGAGCGAATAATATTACACGTGATCGGAAGCGACGTTTCATACTCTATTGGTTTGTGCCTTACATTATATGCTTGTACGATACGTACAGTCACACGTCGAAGCTCGAGGAATGCGTGTGTATATATTTCGTATCTCTTTTTTATTCATACTTTCATTTAAGCGAATCTCGACTTATTTTTCGTTACTCCTGATTATTTATAAACTGAAAATTTAATTTGTGCGCGATTTGCATAATACGTAATCCTATTAACGATCTGCGATTTCAATTTGTTCACGTTCGTGTCGTCGAGAGATCAGACGAGTAATTTAATTTTTTTGCATGCACGTGCGTATAAAAATAAGTCAAAAAATCCTTAGACTGCAATTAAAAATATATCGAACTTTTTTAGATATGTGGAGGTAGTTGTCATTATTTTTTTATTTTTCTCCATGTAACACGGCGACAGGGTGGCGGTAAACGTGTGCGAGAGACGTCGCCCCGTCGCTTATGTCTTTCTCCGCTACCCGCGAGTATATTAATAATAAGCATATGTACACACACAAGGAAGGAAAAACAAGATATATTCCGGTAGTAAGGCGATACGCTTATGCGCGGATAAGGCGCTTGATCCTGTACCTACTTATGTGCTGTACAGCAAGTAGATATACGGAAAATACTCGCGACAAGCTTGAAA